TGGGACACTTGACACACACACAACATGGGACACTTGACACACACACAACATGGGACACTTGACACACACACAACATGGGACACTTGACACACACACACAACATGGGACACTTGACACACACACACAACATGGGACACTTGACACACACACACAGTTTTAGTTTTAGTACGTTTTTACAGCACTTGCAACATAATAAGGTCATAAAATACTGAAGATTAGAGGTGTTAGAAAAGAGTAACAAAGACAAAAAGAAGGAGGAGAGATAAAGATGATAGATGTTTGATTGGAAAGAAGAAGCAAACCACACCAGAGCACCTGCCAACCACCCACCGACTTAGAAATGAGTTTCCCTCGAAATACATCCGATCAAGAAACATCCCACTTTTTGGCGATATTTTCCTATACAAAGGTTTCCCAAAAATTCCAATACCTTTTTTTATTGATCAATGGATTTTTTGGTTTAATTTAAGAACCACAGTTCTTAGAGATTCCTCGTCTTTCATTTAAGCTCGTTTTAAAACAAACTGGACAAAAATTCAAAATTTGTTAATGTGATTGTGATATTGCCATTTTCCGTCTGTTGTTTTCTAAAAGAAATGGTAAAATACCGTCTCGGAGCAGGCCCATGGCGTACTGACAGCCGGTGAAAGAATCCGTCATCGGTGGACACGATACCACCATCTTATTCATTTTGGACCTGTTGTTTCAAAAGCCAACAAAAAAACAAAATAAAATAAAATGAATAAAAATACATAAATGAACGAGAAAAACATGAAGTCAGTGAAGATCATTTCAACAGCTACACACAAGGACAGAAGCAATGACGTGCTGACACAGAGACTTGCTCCTACACACAAGGACAGAAGCAATGACGTGCTGACACAGAGACTTGCTCCTACACACAAGGACAGAAGCAATGACGTGCTGACACAGAGACTTGCTCCTACACACAAGGACAGAAGCAATGACGTGCTGACGCAGAGACTTGCTCCTACACTACACACAGGACAGAAGCAATGACGTGCTGACACAGAGACTTGCTCCTACACTACACACAGGACAGAAGCAATGACGTGCTGACACAGAGACTGGCTCCTACACACAAGGACAAGCAATGACGTGCTGACACAGAGACTTGCTCCTACACACAAGGACAAGCAATGACGTGCTGACACAGAGACTGGCTCCTACACACAAGGACAAGCAATGACGTGCTGACACAGAGACTTGCTCCTACACACAAGGACAGAAGCAATGACGTGCTGACACAGAGACTTGCTCCTACACTACACACAAGGACAGAAGCAATGACGTGCTGACACAGAGACTGGCTCCTACACACAAGGACAGAAGCAATGACGTGCTGACACAGAGACTTGCTCCTACACACAAGGACAGAAGCAATGACGTGCTGACACAGAGACTTGCTCCTACACTACACACAAGGACAGAAGCAATGACGTGCTGACACAGAGACTGGCTCCTACACACAAGGACAGAAGCAATGACGTGCTGACACAGAGACTTGCTCCTACACTACACACAAGGACAGAAGCAATGACGTGCTGACACAGAGACTGGCTCCTACACACAAGGACAAGCAATGACGTGCTGACACAGAGACTGGCTCCTACACTACACACAAGGACAGAAGCAATGACGTGCTGACATGGACACTTGCTCCTACACACAAGGACAGAAGCAATGATGTGGTGACACAGAGACTTGCTCCTACACACAAGGACAGAAGCAATGATGTGCTGACACACAGACTGGCTCCTACACACAAGGACAGAAGCTATGACGTGCTGACATGGACACTTGCTCTATCTTCCACAAAATATGCAGCTTTAATAACTGGCAACTGTTGTCACAAATAAATCTGTCAACTTTCTGTACAAAGTATCATGGCTACTTACAAGGTATGTACTCTTGTTTCCCACTGTTGATCAGTTCTACATTTTGATAACAAACTTAATACACATTAAAAACTATGATGGAAACTGGAAAAACTTACACGACAAATTCCCTTTTTTTCTCCATTGACCAAAATCAAATCATGCTTCAAGCAAATCTATACCAATTATATCAATAACGTTTTGGGAAGTGCGTCTTACTTCATCATGCTCTCCCATAAAATGGAGCATCAGTGAGATGCTCGCTCAAATCTTCTCTACAACAAAACGAACCCTGAGAAGTAGCGCTCGGCCGAGTCAGGAGGGAGGGAGCCGTCTACGTTGACAGCGATTTGTTCCCCCTTGCTGGAGGAGTAGTTCTTGCTGCGCGTGTCCAGGGAAAGCACAAGCTCCACCTGGCGGGAGAAACATAAACAATGGTCAGAGAGATTTTGGTGGGACTTAGGAGTTTCTACGCCACCATAAACACAATTCTGATCCTTGGCTGAGAACAGACCAAGACACAAAGACACAACATTCCAACAGACAAAGACACAACATTCCAACAGACAGACAAAGACACAACATTCCAACAGACAGACCAAGACACAAAGACACAACATCCCAACAGACAGACCAAGACACAAAGACACAACATCCCAACAGACAGACCAAGACACAAAGACACAACATCCCAACAGACAGACCAAGACACAACGACACAACATTCCAGCAGACCAAGATACTCGGTACAAATTTTCCCCACTCAGGAACAAAACTCTGGTCTCTTGTGAGCAAAGGCATGGCATCTAACCACTGCACCACAGAGTGGGGCCACACGGACAGTGACTCAGCTCAACAGAGACCTCCGTCTGTTTGAGTCAAAAGCACACCAAAACGACAACGGTCAGCTGAGACTGAAGCATCCAACATTACAAGGCTTTCCCTGCTTTTTTGCACACAAACACACACAAAAATCATCCATATTTCCCGCATGTCGTTCATGACAACTACAGCACTCCCAGGAAAGGGGTTTAAAAATAGATCAACTTTCCACGGCAAGTTTTATCTCTTATAATCCTCTCATCTTAAGAGTCATAATGACTGCATTAAATTCAGAAAGGCATAAAAATTAAAATTCTGAAAATCTACCTAAGGGTTTTGCAGTTTCAAAGCCAACTGTTTAAAGAAAGGCTGATAGTACAGGATCAGTCAGCATAACACTTGCCAGTCTTGCCAGGAATGCTATACGGGTTTTAGGGCTGTTTCAGTTGTATACCACTGTTTTCTTCAACAACAATACAGCTGCCAACTCGGCAAGAACAGACACCTAGCCTCTCTCGCCAAAGTTTACGGCCAGAATTTTGGCCCTCTAGCTTCCCTCAGCCTTGTTTCTTTCTTGCTCACTCGCTGGATTCCTCTTTCTTACTCCTCCTCCTCCTCCATGATCTTGCTGGATTCCTCTTTCTTACTCCTCCTCCTCCTCCATGATCTTGCTGGATTCCTCTTTCTTACTCCTCCTCCTCCATGATCTTGCTGGATTCCTCTTTCTTCTTCCTCCTCCTCCATGAACTTGCTGGATTCCTCTTTCTTCTTCCTCCTCCTCCATGAACTTGCTGGATTCCTCTTCCTCCTCCGCCATGCACTTGCTGGATTCCTCTTCCTCCTCCGCCATGCACTTGCTGGATTCCTCTTCCTCCTCCGCCATGAACTTGCTGGATTCCTCTTTCCTCTTCCTCCTCCTCCATGCACTTGCTGGATTCCTCTTTCCTCTTCCTCCTCCGCCATGAATTTGCTGGATTCCTCTTTCCTCTTCCTCCTCCTCCATGCACTTGCTGGATGTTTATGGATGTTCTTGTGTCCTCTCTTCCTTTTCCCCTCTACCTCCTCTTCGTGTTCTTCTTGTCCCAGGAGGCTAGAGGCTGCCGTCTCGCCTGTTCACTGCACGACATGACATTTACCTCGTCAAGACCCCCCCCCCTCCATAGTGTTGGGGTCACCGACCGATTCTTTCTCAGTGTCAGCAAAACAGCTCACTGGAAAAGGAGCTGCGGTATAGTAAGCTGAAGGTGCAATGGTACTTGATAACAGTTATAACAGGACTCCGTTATAAGAGGGAAAACTGCCAGTCTCGTCTCCCCTGTTACATCTGAGTTGGACTGTAGTTTTTTGTCGCTAACACATACAAGTAAAAAGGACTCAGGTCAGACAGACTTCAGAGGACTGCTTGCTGCACCGGCTATATGGTGAAGGACAGCTCATGCTTCCCCTGGGGGGGGTGGGGCAACTGCATTATCTAGACGGGGCAGTGTGTGACCAAAAGTACAACATGCACAACAGATGCATACAGAAGAGGTGTGAAGACAAACATTGAACTCAAACTATCTCCCTATGACGTAGTTCATGATAAAAATCCTCACCTTTTTTTGTTGGGGTTTGACTCGGGCTGCCAGATGATCAAATTGGTCGTAGCCAACATTTCTGGGCCGCAAAGGGTACTGAGCAAAATACATACATATATTAATTTAAAGAAAACAGTTATAAATGTGGATGAAAGGGATTTATGCTACACATTAATAATAGCATACGGCTACATATTCATGTAATACTTGAATGAAACATTTACTCTCTCAATTCATTTACATACATCAGCATTAAGTAGTGGAATAATTTGTTTTTAAATTACGAGCAGATGAAGAATCTTACCACAATTGTGCTGTTTATTATATCAAAAGATCATCAAAGGTTCAAATACTTAACTCTTTTTATCTGAAAAAATTAATGAGAACAAAAATTAGTTACTTTTATTAAATTCCATTAGCTTTATACAAGCACATCTTCCCTTTAGAATCTAAAGCTAATAAAACCAGGAAACTAAAAAGAACAAAATAATAATGTACCACTTTTAATATAATTAATAATAATTCCCATGCTGAAGTAGGGCACAATGGCAGATAAAACACACACATACTCATTTCAAGGTCACACTAGCTGTCACATGACTCATTTCAAGGTTACATTACTAGCTGTCACATGACTCATTTCAAGGTCACACTAGCTGTCACATGACTCATTTCAAGGTTACATTACTAGCTGTCACATGACTCATTTCAAGGTTACATTACTAGCTGTCACATGACTCATTTCAAGGTTACATTAGCTGTCACATGACTCATTTCAAGGTTACATTACTAGCTGTCACATGACTCATTTCAATGTTACATTAGCTGTCACATGACTCATTTCAAGGTTACATTAGCTGTCACATGACTCATTTCAAGGTTACATTACTAGCTGTCACATGACTCATTTCAAGGTTACATTACTAGCTGTCACATGACTCATTTCAAGGTTACATTACTAGCTGTCACATGACTCATTTCAAGGTTACATTATTAGCTGTCACATGACTCATTTCAAGGTTACATTACTAGCTGTCACATGACTCATTTCAAGGTTACATTACTAGCTGTCACATGACTCATTTCAAGGTTACATTACTAGCTGTCACATGACTCATTTCAAGGTTACATTTCTAGCTGTCACAATGACTCATTTCAAGGTTACATTAGCTGTCACAATGCATCACCCTTCCTATTTCTTTTAGACGTAGGAGAAGTAGATAAAATGTCAAAAGTTTCAATCATAACAAAACAGGAATTAAAAATGTCTTACCTGCATAAGATATAGATTGTCAGACAAACTCTTAGAGAGAAAAACATCCACCTGATGGAAATACAAAGAATCAAAACATAAAACACACAGTTTCATTTTCATATCACAGGCAAATATAGAAGGAATATTCAACCCCTACATTCTGTATTACTATGTTGTAAAAAAAGGCCCACCACAGCTTTCAATTCACACTTTCAGAGAGATCCAGTTGGTTTGGTGCCAAAAAATTTTTTTCCATTTTTTTCACCTCCAAACAAACAATATGTCCTGTCAGGTTTCGAACCAAGGACCTATTGAAGGAGAGGCAAACACAAAATCTCTAGACCACGAAGCATTCTCCGGGTTAGACTCTGAGAGCACTGAGACGATATAGACCTAAATACCCGGTATTGATGTTTTATCAGAAAGAGAGCGAGGGATGTGCTGTTATTTTTCAGTACAAAATGAGCAATAATACAATAATACAGCCGATCCTGCCATGACAGCCACCTGTACAATAAGGCCACTTTCCATTTTCCCCCCTTCCGTTTTTTCAACGATATAAATATAATTTAACTGTGTAAAACGGGCATCTGTCCAACATGGCCGCTGCCACCCCAATTTCACCAACCCAGAGATGCCAACCACAGAAAACCGAAATGAGTATTGGGAACTATGAAAATGTGTATTTTCAGGTGAAAATGTGTATTCCCCACGACCGACCAACTAGTTAGTAAAATGTTAAGGGTGTCCAACAATATTTCCTGAAAAAAAATTACTAGCTCACCGGCTCGAAAAAGGGAGCACACACGCGTACAATATACATGTATGCAGTCAACAACATGTCAGTGTTCAAGGTCGTACAGGGGTCTTGTTTGACTTTAAAAGTATTTCAGTCTATTATATATTTTCCTCTCATTATTATATAAAAAATAAATCCTGCTTTGAGAGTTCGGAAGGGCCTAAAACAAGAATTTCGACTATCAAGAACCAGTCTGGGTGTCATGATTCATATTATGAACTGACAGACTCAAATTATTGCTCAAACTCAGAGAAGAGCAATAACTTGAAAGGCTCAAGTAGACCCGTGCACTGTGAGAGTTGTAAAAACTGTGGGAGGGCAAGATGCAGTGACATTGAAAATCTGCCAGTCTTGAACAGAAAGCTACAACATACACCGTAGGTATAACAATTTACTATCACCCATCCAAGTAGATGTAGGTATAATTTACTATCACCCATCCAGGTAGGTATAATTACTTTCACCCATCCAATGAAACGCAAATACATTATTTCAATAACACAGACTTGCAAAGTATGAGGGGTCCCGATTCCGCACACCGCCTGCACCAATGCACGCTTGGCAGTAAGCCCTAATCAAAATTCTGAAATGCGCTTCCAAGTTTTTGTCCTCTGGTGTTGCCTTAACCTCCGATAGTATCTTAAACCTAAGAAAATCAATAATCTCCTCCCCTATTCCGTAGTCATATACTTCGCAACGCTGTTACTCAAACCAAAGACCTTTACTCACACGAACGCACGCAGGTTCAGTGACCGGTCACGATGGCGAGCCAGACAATCTAAAAATCAGACGACGCTTGTATTTTCTTTTCTTTTTTTTTTCCACAAACGCCAGCCAAAGCGACGAGTCCGAGTGTTTATTACATTTTATTTGCACGGCGACATTGCGTTTATACTGCACAACCTGCATACCACAAATGTTGCGTTAACAGACAACTGCTGGCAAACTTCTTGGTGGTAACGAAAGCGAAAGTAGATCTTGATTTTCCCGATCGAGCCTCGGTGTCACATACGCTTCCGCCCACCTGCCGCCATAGCTGCCAATACGCGTGAAAGTGAAACGTACTCTCTGGACGGGGAAAAGCTGAACGAATATAATATCACGATCGCGACCGGCAAAAATGAACTTACTGACCTTATCGGACTTGGTTTTCAAATATTCCAGTTCTGCGATATTGCATTTTAAAAGATGGGACTCGAGATAATTAGGTTTACTCGCCCAAGATGAATCTCGTATTTTTCGCATTCCAGGATGCGTATTTTTTAAATGAAAAGTCGTATTCGCGTATTTTCGGCAAAAAATCGTACAAAAATACGTAAAATCGTACTGGTTGGCATCTCTGCCAACCCATGGTCAAATTTACCTGCCTGAGAGGGCTAGATTTTGTTAAAAATTATGCATTTTCCCAGACACAGTGAACGAGCTGTCATAGTTCATTCACCTGTCGTTATTGTCAGTCCCTCCAATGTCCCATTCACCTGTCGTTATTGTCAGTCCCTCCATTCACCTGTCGTACGGTTATTGTCAGTCACTCCATTCACCTGTCATTATTGTTAGTCCCTCCATTCACCTGTAGTATGGTTATTGCCAGTCCCTCCATTCACCCGTCGTTATTGTTAGAAGTCCCTCCAATGGCTGAAATGGTCATGTTGCTTTAGGCTGCTCTTGGTGTTTACCAAAGTTGATCAATAGTTACAATAAATTTTCAGCTGCTGGTAAGGGAAGTGTGTGATCCATCATAAACTATCCGCCCACAACTTATCGATATCCAGCTTACTCTGTGTGGATGATGCCAAGTCTCAATAATAGACGGGACCCACATTCGTAAGACTTAAACTTTTAAGTAATCTAGATCTAGTACTGCTGTTTCTTTACTTTGTTTAAAGTTGAGGTCATAAAAAGTAAGCTGATATACAGTTGAAAGACTAAGCTTTTTTGTCATCACTCACCTTCTATCCAATTCCAAGACCAAGCATCAAATGAATCCCAACATTTAGTTGATTTATGATCTATAATCTACAGACTTCATGTCACAGAATGAAATTCAACTTTAGAATCTATAGATCTACCCATGTGGGCACTTCTGTACAATTGTGGTCCCATTTAGGGATAGATCTAGATCTAGATCTAGGCATACTTTTTTTTACCCAACCAACGATTAGGCCTACTTCTGGTTCTAAACGATTACTTTTTGATGCGTGTGCCGATAGGCAGGGAGAGATAGATCTAGATCTAGATCTAGATCTAGATCTAGATCTAAATCTAAATCTAGATCTAGAATCTAGCCAAACAAACCTAATTGCAAAAGATCAAATTTCGGTCAAATTCAGGGGCGCATGCCCCCCCTGAGACCCCCCAAGTTTTGTTAGGTGGTCAGGGGGACTGCAATAGTACAGGAGTGCCCCCATGTGGCTGTGGTGTCACTGTCACTGGGTTAGGGAGGCTCCCCACTGACCCGGGGCGAGCTGGGAGAAAGTGAAAGTTGGAAAAGAAAAGGAAAAAGAAGAAATGTCTAGTCTAGATTTCAATATGACAACTGAGAGAAAAGATTGCTGTGGATATTGTAGCCGTACACATGGGAAATAAACTCAATTTAAAAAAAAAACATTTATTGTCTAACCTCCTTGACAACTGGATCTTCGTCACTATCATCCGCCATGGCTGTGTACTAAAGTGAAGGATTGCGGCGTTGTTGCTTTCTTATTGCAAGACGAGAACGTGAGAGTGGTCTCCCCTGAAATGTACCGGAAATTCGCATTTGTCTACATGTACTTTACGGGAAAACCAATTACATTTCGGTCCCTCGACCTGACAATTAACAGAAAAGTGCGATTAAAACTTCGTGGCTCAACTAATAGGTCAAATATTTCCTCATCTTTCAAACACAGACTCCCCAGCTTTTGCACAATGGCTTGTATCACACTCTCTCTCTCTCTCTCTCTCTCTCTCTCTCTCTCTCTCTCTCTCTCTCTCTCTCTCTCTCTCTCTCTCTCTCTCTCTCTCTCTCTCTCTCTCTCTCTCTCTCTCTCTCTCTCTTACTTCAATAAGTTCCGTAAAACTCTTACTAAAAATAGAGATCCAAGTGAGAAAATTTTTATATGCAAGTTTTTATAGAGATCCAAGAGAGGGCCTGGTTATACTTGCAGCATAATCTTTTGGCTCCAAGTTTCTCATGCGAAAAATTAATAAGCGCGAGGGTGGGGGGGGGGTGTGTCTCTAATATAAAAAAATAATAAGCAGGGGGGGGGGGGCGGGCTTATTTGAACCTCAGAGTAAACCCCTCAAGTTGACACACGTTTAGGAAGGGCGTATGAGCGAGGGGAATTAGAGAAAAGTGGAAAATGAAAAATGAAAAGGGATGAAAATAAAGAGAGAGAGAGAGAGAGAGAGAGAGAGAGAGAGAGAGAGAGAGAGAGAGAGAGAGAGAGAGAGAGAGGGGGGGAGAAAGGGAACAATAATAACAACGATGACAACAACAACGTCAGGAGCAAGAGCAGCAGTATCAGCAACATCATCAATGAGCAGAAGACAGCAAAAATAACGATTGTGAGCAGCAATAACAACATTAAAATTCCAGACAATTTTGGCATATCAATACAAGTAGATCAAGCTTAATAAATTATTTAACGACAACAATGAAGGAGACGAGGAAAAGAGAACGAGAGAGAGAAATGGAGAGAGAAATAAGCAAGATAAACCTATGTACAACTCACTATATCTGTTCCAGAATCTAGATCTAGATCTAGAAATCTAGATCTAAAAACATAGCATGCATTGTTTTCTAAATCTTGACTGGGAGATGAGAAATGAATTAGATGTAGATTCTAGATAGATTTAAACCATAAATTATCTCCAGGAAGCCTAGATCTAAAACCCACATTTGCAAGATATCTATATATATTTATATCTAGGATCTAGATCTACTTAAAACACAAGTTTCGGCACTCTTGTACAATTGCGAAACCGTTTGTTTACATGACGGCCAATGTGGAAGTGAATCTAGATCATAGATCTAGATCGAGATATCTTTAGAGCTAGAGCAAGATTCTATATAGCCTAGATAATTTCTCTCTAATTATAATCTGGATCTAGGTATCTAGATTCTAGATCTAGATCCAGATTAGACAAAATTTTAATAAGTTTAGATCTAAATAAGAAACAGACTCTAGGGGCACTAAGTGCAAACGGGACCGCAATCAGGGGTGCCCAAGTTACAACACATGCTTTCATTCATGGTGAATACAAAGGTGTATGTTTTGAAACAAATTTTCACTGAATGATACGCTGTTTAAGCTTCATCTACTTATCCACCAATTGACTTACTTTTCAAGGTCTTTAAGAAAACGAAAAAAAGCTAATTCAGGTCGTCTGTTTTTTGTTTTTTATTAGTGCAGTTTATTGCGGCACATCACTTACAGTGTGTGTTCTTAGGATCAGCCATGTTTGTTTGAGTTTACCGCCCCAGTTCCTGTAGTCACGGGATTGGTCAGATTCGCGGTCTGGCCCAGTCTGTACTGTCTCGTTTACGTTGCTAGGTCTCTGGTTATAGTATAGACTGTGAATAGCATAGCTTGCTGTTGAGTGGGGATTTGCGCTATACAAATGCTATCTATTATATTATAGTAAAAATGCTCATGGTATGAGTTTGAAGGACATTATCAAATCTGCCCACATAGAGAAGTCAGGTCGAGATCTATACCCACATGTGAAGAAATGAAGTTAGGCTAGGTTCAGATCTATGTTTACACCGATTTTCGACAACCCGATATATAATTGTTAGCCAGCGTGTTGACACTGTAGTGGATGCGTGACTAACTTGTTTACTTCGCAAAAAGGCAGGATCTTTTCAAATTGAAAACGTTTTTATTTAGATCTAGATCTAGATGATTGAACCCAAGGATTGAGCCTTCTTTTAGTGTAGAATCTTAGGTGTAAGACACGTTTATTAAGATCTAGAGATGATTGAACCTAAGAATTGAACCATCTTTTAGTGTAGAATCTTAAGTGTAAGACACGTTTATTTAGATCTAGATCTAGAGATGATTGAACCAAAGGATTGAATCATCTTTTAGTGTAGAATCGTAGGTGTAAGACACGGGTGTGGATTCCCGAATCGACTTCATTGATACATGAATCGCCTAAGATCGTTCATATGAAGATAGTTCACCTGGCCAAAAAAGTGTCCGCGGAAGTCCGCGCATTGCTTCAGATGGCGTGCGCTCTTTGTTTTGAAACTCTCTTTCATTTCTCCAGAAGAAGAATAGGAACAGCGCCGCTTGATGGTTTCACTTCAAGGAGCTTAGAACAAACTGTAGAAATTCCTTGTTTCACTTTTCAATTGTTTTTCACACAAGTAGGGTAACTCTTTAACTCTGTTCGCAAAGTCTGCGCTTTTTCGAAGAGGGCGCCACCGGATTTTCAGGACACTTTTTTTATTGGCGCAAAGAGAGGAGTGAACTATCTTGTTATGTACGATCTTTGATATCGCCCACCACAACCCATTGAACCCACGAGCGACTCGAGGACGGAGCACGTGACAGCTGTGCCGTGTTGTCATTGGTCAAGCGTAAAGCAGACGACAGACGGCGGGAGGAGCTGTTAGCTGTGTGTGTGAGCGAGACGGAGGCTCAGGGCGAAGTGTGTAGTGTGACGTGTGAAGAGAGGCAGCGCCAGCCAAGGCAAGTTGTATTGGCGCGGCAGTTTGAAAAGTTCTTCTGGACCGCTGATCAGATTTTTCCTTCCACTGTAGTGTAATAATGTTTTGTGCTATCTTTTCTTTCCACTGGAATGTTCCAGATTCTAAATCTATTGGTGATCTTATACTTTAGCGTGTTAAATTGTTCAACTGATTTTAGGTAGCGTCAATTGCCACCGAGTGACGCAGTGGCAATTGACAAAAATTGACTTTTTGTCAACTGCCACCGAGTGAAGCGGTGTCAAGTCTGAAAACAACACCATCTTTAGCTTTATACATAGATCTAGATCTAGGCCTAATGTGTGTCTAATGGGTCGATTTGTTCTCAACTAATTTCATTGGACGAGCATCTAGTGTAGAGCTACGGTACCAACTTGGCGTGTTTTCAATGAGACGTAGATCTAGATAAGATCTAGATATAGATCTAGATCTAGTCGATCTAGGCTAGCCTTAGCCTACACTTTGGTGTAGAACCAACACAGGCAATTCTAGAAGTAGGCCTAGAAGGTCACAAACGCACACAGACTCAAGCAGAAATTCACGTTATATCGGGGAACTTAAATCGGGGGACGGGGGTCAGGAAAAGATACAAACACACAGAGGGACAGAGAGGCGAACGCACAACAAGAGCTCCAATTTACTCGGTGGCAATTGACACTACCTTGATTTTATCTAAGATATCGTAGGCTAGAGGTCCGCTCGCACGCGCGTTTGTGTGTGTGCGTGTGTGTGTGTGTGTGTGTGTGGGTGGCGGGATAGATAGATGTAGATATCTAGATCTAGATAGATCGAAACAGATAGATAGACCTCTAGCCTACGATAGCTTAGATCTAGATTTAGATCTAGATGTAGATTCTAGATAAAATCAATTAAAGAATTTAACCTGCTAAAGTATAAGATCACCGGGCGATCTATGCAATCTTATCTAGATCTAGATCTTGTTCTATGTGTCACCTTGTTGTGCTGCGAAGAAGTGATACCCACCGCTCCATGTCATATATTACAGGTTAGTGTGTCAGATGTGTGTGAGCTGAGAATGGTTTTCGCCGACAGTTTCCACACGTGCTAGCCTTGCGCACTCACACTAAACACCCGCGTCCGCCCGTCCCTCAGAGGAAGATAGACATACGTCAAACCGTCACTCACGTGTCAGTCACTTCTGTCACTCTGTAACGGATGGTAGACAGACGGGGATGTGTGTGGGTGTGTGTGTGGGTGTGTGTGTGTGTGTGTGTGT